CCACTTTATTTTGCGGAACGATGTTTGAAGCTTGTCCACCTGATATGGTGCATGTTTGACCACTCCGTTAGAATGCTTGCTTTCAACCGGCTTTTCTGACAGCTGAATCTTCTTTCCGCAGCTGCTGTATACTTCGCATACATTTCAGATGAAATCTTTTTCAGTTACTTCCCTTTCCACTGCACGGAAGACTGCTCCATATTCCACCATATCAGATGTATTTTCATCGTCCACAAAGATCATATATATATATATGATTGCAAAAGCGGCATAACAAAACATCTGTGAGCAGCTCATGCACACTGGATAGCAAATGCAGAAGTCAATAGTTTTTAAAATCTTTTCGATCACTTTTCTTGTAGAACAGCATCATTCATGAGAAGTTATCGTCGCATGACATTTTGTCTAGTTAGCAAAATCTGATAGATAGCGGCGCCATGAAATCATTAAACTTGTATCTGTCTTACTTGGGAACGTCAGCTGAAATATGACTTAGGCCCATAGCATTTTCACAGCTCGTGTGACACAAAACCGTACAGCTTCACTTTGTTTAATTTCAAACACGCCACTCTCATTTAATTTCTGTATGATCGACAGCAATGGCACGTTTGAGTTGAAAACATTGCTACGTCTATACATATTCCATCGCCATATGGTCCGTTACTCTCTCCAAAGTGATTTCTCCGCTTGTAATGCATTAACATAAAGGCAGCATCTCTTTTGCACGTTTTGTACTCCTTCTCTCTTCCACCACTTGCCGCTGCCTTTCGTTTTTGTAGCACCTTTCGCTACCAGTGGCTCCGTTTTTGCATGAGTCGGTATTCAGCCAAGCTCGCAGAAGATTTTATAAGCGCTCTTCCGTTTCGCAGTAGCTCCTATGCAGTTGCTGCAGCGTGTTCTGAAGTTGTCGTTTCCGCCATTTGTGCCCTTTTACACTCTTTCGCCTGTATGACAAGGCTGTTGTATTCCGATTATTCAGATTATCATCGATAGTACCTCGCTTTTTGAAATGTCTTGAAAAGTGCCTCAGCGGTCATTCACCATTTGCCTTGATTTG